CACACTTATCAACAGCTTTCCCAAGGGTTAAGGTGTACTTTACATCAGGTAAGTAGCTGAGTGAAACTTGCAGATGTCTGCAAGAGAACTACACAGTAATTAATACTGCGTGTTACACATGAAAGTTGTGAAGAATAAATCCTGAGTTCTCACCACAAGGAGAAAACTTTTTTTTCTTTTTGTCTTACTTTGTATTTATGTGAGATGATAGACGCTCACTAAATGTACTGTGATAACCATTTCGTGATGTAGGTAAGTGAGGTCATCAAGCTGTACAGCTTAAATTTACGTGCTGTATGTCAATTCTCTCAATGAAAGTGAAAGAAAAAAATCATACAACGAAAATAAAAATGAAAGAACAAAACAGAGAAACTACCCAACCAGATCATGAAGGGCCTGTCACATCTGCAGCCCAGTGAAATAGAAAGATTTAACAAACAAAAAAAAACTTCTCTCTGCAGATTCTCTGCATGGGGAATGCAAGACACGTGCAAAATAAATGCAACACGAGTTTAAACATTAGCATCCTAAATAAAACACTGAGGGGACTCATACCTAGTTTGAAGAATTAGGGAAGTTTTCATAAAAGAGGCAGAATTCAAGCTGAACTTTGAAGAACAAAAGATTTTGCCAGGCCAAGATATAGAGCTTGAAGCATCAGCGCCAGCTCAAGTTCAGGGAAAGGAAAGCCCAAACACACGTATATTTAGTTGCACGCAATGTGGTTTGGCGAAGCGGAGGGCAGCAGTTCTCAAACTTTTCCCACCTTAACCTTCCGAAGCACATTGTTCACAGGTGACTCTCTCCTGCCTTCATACCCCAGTTATGCCAGAGTTAAGACAGGATATGGTGGATGTAAGATTGCCAGCTATCTGGTTATAAGCTCACCCTCTGTCTCCCACTGGTCCATTACAACAATGAGCTTGAGACCCATTAATGGAGGCTTAGTGCAAGATGCAATGAAAGATGCAGTTCAGGTAAGTTATAGGCAGGCAGAACCTGGAGGTTCTCAAATACCAGGCTGAGGGATTTTAACTTATGAAGGCAGCAAGGAGTCCCTGAATATTTCTGAATAAGATAAAGACCTAAATTGAGCTGCATTTTGCAAAACAAACATGCTTCTGACAAAAGTGGGTAGAATGGAGCAGGAAGAGTCTAAGAAAGGATGCTTCTTTCCTATCCCTGGTCATAGCAGACATCACTAATGGATCAAGGGACTCTTCCTTGAGAAGCCCAGACAGAATCTTCAAATTCTTCCCAACTTAGAGCTCTAATGGTATAGAAGGAGATGGGGCTGAAAGACAGCTGGAACCCAATAGCCACCCTGTGGCTGGAGTCAGACCCTATTTAAGAGGTGAGACCCCCCCCATATGGGAGGGAAGCAGAGTCAAGGTGGTGTGTGGAGGTGGCAGTGGAATTGGAAAGAGGGGATACGTCTGGGAAGTATGGCTGCAGTGTGTCACCAGGATTTGACACTTGCTCAGTGTGACAGGTGAAGAGAGGGGAAAACCAAGCCCCACTCCAATTTTTTAAGATTAGTTAGTGGCACCGCCATTTTCTCCCCAAAAAAGAAAACTTGGGAAAACAAACTGATTGTTAAAAAGGATTCAGTTTGAGTATTGGCTATAAACATCAGATTTAAACATCAGGCCTAAGGCTGTCTGCGACTACAACACAAAACAAAAATCTCATGAATACAGCATTTCCTCCAAGATTCCAGCAAATTTTTTAAAATGCATCTGGGAGAAATACAGACCTCCTAGTCTCCCTAAAAGAATTACAATATCGTCCAAGATTTCTGGCAGAATCTGGAAGAGGAAGAAAGGTGAAAACGTGATTGAAAAAGAGTTTTGTTTTTCTTCCTCATAAGAAACAGGAGGAATGACTCCTGCTTTGCCTACTAGGCCACGGCTGCCAGAGTCGCAGCCTGTAGTTTCCTGCTCCATCTTTCAACCTCTGCTCTGCATCTGACTTAATGAAACAGGTGAAGCTTGATTAAATTATAAGATCCCCTGTTCTGCCTCTAACTTGAGATCAATCTTCATGCAACAGAAATTGGGGCCTGTGTCCAGAGGGGAGGAGCTGAATTTTTAGCCATTCCCTTTGCAGAGAGAGGATAAATGATTGTCATTGTAAACTTAAAAATGATACAAATAAACTTATTTACAAAACAGAATTAGACTCAATGACATAGAAAACAAACTTGTGGTTACCAAAGGGGAAAAGGGGGGAGCGATAAATTAGGAATTTGGGATTAACAGATACACACTATTATATATAAGATAGATAAACAACAAGGACTTACTGTATAGTACTATATTCAACATCTTATAATAACCTATAATGGAAAAGAATATGAAAATGAATATATATACATATGTATATCTGAATCACTTTGCTGTATACCTGAAACATTGTAAATCAACTATACTTCAATAAAAAATAAAATATATAAAATTGTTCCTCTTATTAATATAGTAACATAAAGACAGGGTTATGATATTCAATTACCATAATTCAGGGGTTTAGGCATTTAAGAAAGTTGTAGCCTGCCCTGCCCTGTAGATGACCTGGCCAAAATTCTCCCCATTTGCAAATTTGTAGAGTTGTTCTGCTAAGCAATAGATCCTGGGTCTGGCATAACATTCTATAACAATACAAAATAATTTCTTCCGAAGGCTATTTTTCCTAAGGTCTTAAACCAGCACATCCTTTGCTTATCAGAGAATTGTCTGCAAGAAATACTGGCAGTGGTGTGCTGCTGGATGGTTAAGAACTGGCTTTCCAGGGAAAAAGCCCTAGTGTGTAACATTGGCCGATTTCTGTGGTGTAAATACTCCTATTGGGGCTGCTTTCAAGCAACCAACAAAAGTCATGGGTAGTGAAGTTGGTAAGATCTGTACCCAACTGACTCCCATGAGCCAGAGCAAACTTTCTTCAACACACCATTGTTACCAGACAAACCACGTCTGAAGCCACCCATGAGGCATTGCTAAAGTACTGTCTCAGATGACATTGATGACCCGGAAGCTCGGGAGACCATATCCAGCCAGAATTGAGACTGGATCCTCCAGGTGACTGTCAAACCGTGTCCAGCTGGTTTGTTGCCTAAATACATTTTGAAGCTTTTCTTTGTGTCAGTGGCTCTTCCAGATCAGCTAGTCTGGAAGAGCCATCAGGAAATGTGGGTAGCAATAAAAACAGAATTACAATTAGAAAATATCTGATTTCATTTTCATTTCCAATAAATGTATTCATACATACACCTCGTCCTCATGATGACCTTCTCACTCCTTAACTGCAATTCTAAGAGAGACAAGGCACAGTCTTTGGCAAGAGTTTGAATCCTCAAGGACTCTTTGGTCTGTTTCTGTTTGCTTTGCTCTTAGCGGGCTTTCCCTCTGGAACAATGTATTCTGAAATCATCCCTATGTATGATGACCAGGAGATTTCTATACCCCTTGGGACCACAGTGAGACAGTACATTCATAGTGAGATTCCAATGAATGAGATGTTTGCCTTTATTTCCTGCAGTAGAACTCATATGGATCCTCCAGCAAAAAAAAATTTGGGAAGCAGTTCAAATGGAAGTTGAGGATCTGGAAATTAATTCCCTTAGGTGCTAACTGGTCGCAGGTGCCCCTGGAAGTCTTCTGGCACCTTCACCTGCAACACTGTGCACAGTGCCTTCTCGATCCTGATCTCATATTCCACTGGTCCTTTTCTCAGGACCAATGTTCTCAAACTGGCCTCACTGACGACTACTGCAGGGCCCATCCAGATTTCTTCTTCTCTCTAACCCTCTGCCTTCAGAGCCCAGACTTTGAATTCCTGACTCTCATCACCTTTCCTTCATCCTGAAAAACTCCATTACTTCAGGGAGACTGATTTTTAAGAGGAACTAAACTGACTGGCAGGAAGGTATTAATGACTGACAGCTTACCCAAGTTTTAAGGTAGTGTTTGCATTTTTCAAAGAAAACCTTGTTTACCAAAAGGAGATTCCTATTGGTTGGAAATTCAGGTGAAAGAAGAGAAGCTATAGACACTGCGGAGGAAATAGTCTAGATAATTTCTAGACAGTTAAAGACCAGTTTTGATCCCTGCGCTGGGAAGCAGTAACTTGTTAAAGGAGATGGAAGCCCAACAAGTAGCATCTCATATTTTAAACCTGCAGGAGATGCTAACTGGGGAAAAGGTCATCGGTGTCAGAGGGTAGACAAGGCTGCAGTGCCAGAAAGGAGACGGAATGAGACTCAGACAAACTTTCCTTAAGTCCCCATGTCCTTGGAAATTTCATCAAATCCAAGTTTTGAAGTAGTCCTAATCTCTAAATTTCAGACATTTTAAGATCAATAGAACAGAAAAAGTCACCTCAAGTAATGGGAAGGCACAGATGAGGAGACTTGTTAACAGAAAGATTGGGATTCTAAAGGTTATCAGGTCACACTACAGACACCTGGGACTGAAAATCAAGCTGTAGGAGAGAAGATGACCACATTCGAGATGCTGCTGCTCTCACTCAGGCATGGGGTAAATCTGGAGGAGTGTTTTCTTTAAGCCTAAGGATATGAATCTTGCTTTCCAAAATAAGGTTGGAAGATGGATTTCTGCCACTTGGCTTCATCAATCTGGCAAATAATTCTGCAAATGAAATCCGTATCTCTGAACATAGATATGAAGATTTACAGAAAGGGCAGTCAAAAGATAGCTTTTGAATTCTACTGTAACCATGACATTGAAATGACCTGACCACACGACTCTAGAATTCAGATAGAATTAAAGAAACTCTACCCCAGAGATCCGAAACATAAAGGAGTAGGACAAATCTGCTCCCCTGCCCCCCTCCGTCCCCATTACTTATTTTCATAAGACACTGCAACTGATAAACATCTGTTCCTCTTCAATGTCCAAGGGATCTTGTTTGCAAACGTGAACAACCATCGCTTCGTGCTCTCAGGGAGAAAACAAAACCCTATCAATCAAAGAAAAACTACGTACCCAGACCTGCTGCGGCAGCTGCTTGTTCAAAACCGCATGTCATTGCTCCTGCAAGCCTGAGCGGTAGGATGCTTCTGAATGCTCGGCCTCTGCTCTTCTGAGCAGTGCTGCAGGTTAACTCTCGGAGGCTGAATGCTCTAACCAAAGAAGCCAAGGCTCGCCAGCTTAACTACTTGCGTGCTGACTCATGCACGGGGCAGGACGTTCCCCAGCTGAGCCAGCTTACGAATGAATTCCTGCACCATCCTTGGAAGGTCACACCTGGAGCTCATTATTTTGTACCCTGCACCCCACCCCTGGGAAGGACCATTCATTTTCTTATACTGGCCTGCTTCTCCGATATGATTTGGAAAAAAAAATGCCTCCACTACATCAACTACACACCACAGAGCAGAGGCTTTGCAGGACAAATCAGCACGGAGATGTAAGTTAGGAACTTGTTGAATGAGTGAGTGAGTTAAGCGTGGCCAAGGGCATGCCCCCTCTTTTCTAAAAAGATTGTAACCAAATGAAGAAAATTGATTACTTAGAGTCACCGTGGTAGTCTGGGGAAGCATTTGCTAGGAAGGTGTTTACATTTTCCCTGATGTCCTTCCCAGGCTAAACCAAACATCAATTTCCTGCAACAGTGTCTCTGTTTTAATCACATGGTTACTAGGATCCCTAGGGGAAATGTTCATGCTTCTGAAGCTTTGGGGCCCAGATTAGCAGGTATCAAAGGCAGAGGAAAAAAAAAAGCAACGATTTGTAATGTCTGATCAGGTCTTTGAAGTCCGTGTCATGCCACCCATGTCACATGCCGGAGGCCCAGAAGCCTAGAATTCCAAAAAAACCAGTGCTGCTTTTCCAGTTATTAGTGGGTCCCTTGGAATAGCAGCTCTGAGGGCCAAAGCGTTCCCCTCAGCCTAGGTCAAGTCCTTCGTTTTCTTCAGGCTGTAACAGAGTCCACCCTGGATTCACATGGAAGTAGAAGTCGGGTGCAAGGCAGGGAGGAGTGGTGCGGGGAGGGATTCAGGGACTGGTACAGGGAGACGCGTTTGGTCGTTACGTGAATTATTGCAGAAAGGCAGGAAACAGACATGCAACTGTGGAAATCCGGGGTGAGGGAGATTCTTCAAGAGTTTCCTCTCCTTCCTGCTGGCTGGAGCTGCAGATTTGCCAGCTCAGGTTTATTAGCTCTTGACTCCAAAGCCCTAGGGCCTCTTTGTCTCAAATTGCATTTACCTTGGGGGCCTGTAAGCTCCAGCAAAGGGAGTGCAAATCCATCGGCGCATAGAACACAGCCTGTAAACTGAATGTGTAATAATAATGGTGACATTGTAGCAACAGCAGCAGCTACTCTGCTGAGTGCCTACTGTATGCCAGCAAATGTGCCAAACATTTTGCTTAAAGCAAACTGCTTACAGCAGTTCTGTAGCAAGAACTGCTGGTTCTTGCATGAAATCTGTGTTCCTCTCTTCTTCCTTGCCTCCCCTACAGTCAGAAATAGCCACGAAACCAAGGTCTGGCCAGTGGAGAGTGAGCCGAAGTGATATGTATCATTCCATTCTTGGCCTATAAAACCTTCCCAGTGTGTGATCCTCCAGGCTCCAGGCACAGAAGTGGAGGGAGAGACCCACAGTGACCTTGGAGGTTATGGAAAGAAGAAAGTGAAAAGCCTCCATCAGCCTGAATGATCCCATACAGAGACCTACTGACCTTTGCAATTACAGGCATACCTTATTTTATTTTGCTTCACTTTAATGTCCTTCACAGATGTTGCATTTTTTTTTCTTTTTACAAACTGAAGCTTTGTGGTGACTACGCAAGGAGCAAGTCTACTGGTACAATTTTTCCAACAGCATTTGCTCACTTTCTGTCTCTGTGTCACATTTTGGTAATTCTCACAATATCTCAAACTTCTCCATTATGATTATATTTGTTATGGTGATCTGTGGCCGGTGATCTTTGATGGTACTACAGCAAAAAGATTACAGCTCGCTAAAGGATCAGATGATGAGTAGCACTTTTTAGCAGTAAATTATTTTTAATTAAGGCATGTACATTGCTATCTTAGATTTACTGCTATTGCACACTTGACAGACCACAGCATAGTATAAACATAACTTTTGTATGCACTGGGAAAGCAAAACATCCCTGTGGCTCGCTGTGTTGCGGCATTTGCTTCACTGCAGTACTCTAGAGCTGAGCCTGCGATATCTCCCGGGTGTGCCGGCACTTTTAAATTAGGAGGAAAAAATTGGGTGTCAACCTAAAAATGTGTTTTTCAGACTTCTTTTAGGGATAGGTAAGCTAAACAGTGTAAAGGCCTCTTGTCTACAGAATGAAGACTAGACTCCCTAACTTGGTATTCCAACTCACGGAGCCCACACCCTTTCCTTTATCTTTTTGACATTTCTCCCGGTCAGTCTCCCACTCTTGGCACATAGGTCTCTTTATGGTTCCTAAATGTACCTGTCCTATCCCACCCCTGCTCAAACTTTTATCCTCACCTAGAACCCTTTCCCAACTGTTCCCCACTTAACTGAGTCATACCTCACCGAAGCAGCTTAAAAGCACGGCTGCCAGTTCTTTGGCATGCCATCCATGGAAAAGTGGGGATCTATGTCATCAACCCTCAAAGCTGGGCGGGCAAGTGACTGCTTGCATCTGACACTAGAGACTGTGGAAGTGAAGCCATGTGGCTTCTGAGGCGGATCCAAAAAGCAGTGCAGCATCCACATTTCCTGGAACCTTTGCTCTGGGGACTGTTAAAAAACAAAATTCACCTGAGTGCCTTGTAAAGAAGTTAGAAATATGGTCAAGATGTGTGGAGTGGAGGTCAGGAAGGGCCTCGGGGATCAAAGTAAGGAAGGGCTTTAGATGTTGCTCTGAATTAGAGAGAACGTCATTAGAGCATGATCTAGCCTTTAGAAAGCTTACTCTGTTATCTATCACCTAGATTCTATGTGGAAGCACATACTACCAAGAAGCAAGTTTTAGAAGCAGACAAATTTGGAGGCTTTTGCAATATCCACGCAAGAGCCTTAGATAAGAAGGCTAGAAGCAGAGATGTGATGTGGATGTGACCTGGATGTGTTTTGAAGGCAGAGCCAGCAGGATTTGGGTTTAGAGGGATGAGAGACAAAACAGGAGTCAAGAGTGATTCCAAAAATGTTCTAGACTGTAGAACTGGTAGAGCACAGTTGACCTCTGCAGAGATGAGGGAGAGTATGAGAGAAGCAGGTTCGGTTCAGGAGAATCAAACATTGGGTATCTCTGCAAAATAATTCTGGAAGGATCCTTTAGCTCAAGCAAGAGCCTATGAAAATGACTTGCTGAGACTGGTTGGGAGTAGCCTAATATCTTCAAAGATAATGATAGACAAAATTTTATCCCAAAGGGTGATAGCTTTTTAGGTCGTACAGAGTGGACTCTTTTGATAGTTATGAACTAGCTTTGATGTGAATTAGAAATATAAATTATAGAGTAAGGCTAGTGTAATTTTTTTTGAAGAATTCATTGCAAAAATGCTAATTAAATAATAGTACAAGTGATAAGTAGTTATGGGGAAAAATCATGTCAGCTACACACTAATGGATGAACTTTGGGAAATACTGGTGTGTAACTGAATGTCCAATTAATGTAAGTATCTTTAAAGGTCAATCTCTAAGAAGAGAAGCCTTAGCTATAGTCTGTTCTGATCCAGCCAAATTCTTATTTATTTACAGCTGGCTAATTGTCTGCTGTGATTTCCCCCACTTCTCTTTTTTCCACAAGAGATATGTTCAAGGGTGGTGTGTTCTATGTGAAAGGCCAGAAGAGGCATTTGTAGATTATTCTCACTCCGTGTTCATATATAATTGCCCAAAGTTTACTCGAATTGGAGTTCTTATACTTTAATTGATTTCTGAACAAGAATATGCTTCCCTTCATAAGACCTGCCTTAACACCGCTCTCCCCACCCCACCCCCAGTCTCACACGCCGGCAAGTGGCCCCACGTGAGTCTGTCTGTGGCTTCTGCAACACCAGTGCTCTTCAGTGCTTCGGCTGACCGTGTTTGCTGGGAAGAAGCCCTTCCTGCTAAGGGTGGAGACTGGAAAGAAGTTTTCCCATGAACCCCAGAATGTGACCCTTTCTACCTCAGCCCCCTTAATACATGTAAGCTGTTGACATTCAGTCCTTAAAACAGCCAGGTGAAGTAGCTATCCCTCTGCCCAACTCGCAAATCAAACAACACCGGCTAAGCGGCTGCATGTCCATGTCCGCGTGTCACGTGGCTGGTAAGGGCACAACTCATTTTCTGACCCCTAGTTTTTCACTCTTCAACGCAGAAACAAGCACTTGGCTGAGCTGCTTTATCGTAGCTGCACCTCCTCCCCAACTCCTCCCACCTCGCACCCCAGACAGCTCGAGGAAAATTCAGCGATGACTATTTTAGCTAATGACAAGGCTTTTTTGCCTTGCTGAGTGAAGCCTGCAAGAGGAGAGGAACTTGGAGAGAGAATATGGGAGAGAAAACTCTGGGGGAGAGGGAAGCCGGGAGCAGAGGACTCGAGGAGGAGCGAGGGGTTTCTAATGGGGAAGTCTGTTCTCATTTTTGTACAGCATTGCTGGACTTTCTTCCTGAAATGTTTGGCAGAATTCACCAGTGACCTCAGGTGCGTTTCCAATTTTATTTTTTCGTGTCTAATTTTGATAATGTGTGATACAGCCCTCTTTCCTCAAGGCCCCTGACGCTGGTGATGCTGCTGTTCCTTCTGGAGGCCAGCACCTTAGGTAGGTTCAGTTTGTGAAAATTCATCTCTACATACTTTTCTGGGTGGAGGCAATACCTCAGTAAAGTTTCTAAAAATATTTTTACCTTGTTCAGAATTTTTTTTAAGTATCTCTGATTCAAACTGACTTAAGAAGGAACACTATTAACTCACGTAACAGTTCCTTGAGGATATTATGTAAATTCTGCTAAGAGCTACAGAAGTTTGGGGCATTGTATTTAGATACAACCTTGCCCGAGGAAGGAAGCATTTTCATCCATGGGTCCCTTTTAAAGGTTAAGAAAATTCCCTAAAAGTTGGTCTGGTAAATTTTGTATAAAATCAAAACACATCTGCCCTGACCCAGCAATCTCGTACCTGGCTATTTACCCATGGGCCATGGAAACATACACACACAGGCAGGCGTACCTCAGAGATATTGCAGGTTTAATTCCAGACCATTGCAGTAAAGAAAGTCACATGAATTTTTTGGTTTCCCAATGCTTATAAAAGTTATTTTTATACTATACTGTAGT